CCCACAGTTTATGTAGCTTACCTCCTCAAAGCAATACACTGAAAATGTTTAGACGGGCTCACATCACCCCATAAACAAATAGGTTTGGTCCTAGCCTTTCTATTAGCTCTTAGTAAGATTACACATGCAAGCATCCCCATTCCAGTGAGTTCACCCTCTAAATCACCACGATCAAAAGGGACAAGCATCAAGCACGCAGCAATGCAGCTCAAAACGCTTAGCCTAGCCACACCCCCACGGGAAACAGCAGTGATTAACCTTTAGCAATAAACGAAAGTTTAACTAAGCTATACTAACCCCAGGGTTGGTCAATTTCGTGCCAGCCACCGCGGTCACACGATTAACCCAAGTCAATAGAAGCCGGCGTAAAGAGTGTTTTAGATCACCCCCTCCCCAATAAAGCTAAAACTCACCTGAGTTGTAAAAAACTCCAGTTGACACAAAATAGACTACGAAAGTGGCTTTAACATATCTGAACACACAATAGCTAAGACCCAAACTGGGATTAGATACCCCACTATGCTTAGCCCTAAACCTCAACAGTTAAATCAACAAAACTGCTCGCCAGAACACTACGAGCCACAGCTTAAAACTCAAAGGACCTGGCGGTGCTTCATATCCCTCTAGAGGAGCCTGTTCTGTAATCGATAAACCCCGATCAACCTCACCACCTCTTGCTCAGCCTATATACCGCCATCTTCAGCAAACCCTGATGAAGGCTACAAAGTAAGCGCAAGTACCCACGTAAAGACGTTAGGTCAAGGTGTAGCCCATGAGGTGGCAAGAAATGGGCTACATTTTCTACCCCAGAAAACTACGATAGCCCTTATGAAACTTAAGGGTCGAAGGTGGATTTAGCAGTAAACTGAGAGTAGAGTGCTTAGTTGAACAGGGCCCTGAAGCGCGTACACACCGCCCGTCACCCTCCTCAAGTATACTTCAAAGGACATTTAACTAAAACCCCTACGCATTTATATAGAGGAGACAAGTCGTAACATGGTAAGTGTACTGGAAAGTGCACTTGGACGAACCAGAGTGTAGCTTAACACAAAGCACCCAACTTACACTTAGGAGATTTCAACTTAACTTGACCGCTCTGAGCTAAACCTAGCCCCAAACCCACTCCACCTTACTACCAGACAACCTTAGCCAAACCATTTACCCAAATAAAGTATAGGCGATAGAAATTGAAACCTGGCGCAATAGATATAATACCGCAAGGGAAAGATGAAAAATTATAACCAAGCATAATATAGCAAGGACTAACCCCTATACCTTCTGCATAATGAATTAACTAGAAATAACTTTGCAAGGAGAGCCAAAGCTAAGACCCCCGAAACCAGACGAGCTACCTAAGAACAGCTAAAAGAGCACACCCGTCTATGTAGCAAAATAGTGGGAAGATTTATAGGTAGAGGCGACAAACCTACCGAGCCTGGTGATAGCTGGTTGTCCAAGATAGAATCTTAGTTCAACTTTAAATTTGCCCACAGAACCCTCTAAATCCCCTTGTAAATTTAACTGTTAGTCCAAAGAGGAACAGCTCTTTGGACACTAGGAAAAAACCTTGTAGAGAGAGTAAAAAATTTAACACCCATAGTAGGCCTAAAAGCAGCCACCAATTAAGAAAGCGTTCAAGCTCAACACCCACTACCTAAAAAATCCCAAACATATAACTGAACTCCTCACACCCAATTGGACCAATCTATCACCCTATAGAAGAACTAATGTTAGTATAAGTAACATGAAAACATTCTCCTCCGCATAAGCCTGCGTCAGATTAAAACACTGAACTGACAATTAACAGCCCAATATCTACAATCAACCAACAAGTCATTATTACCCTCACTGTCAACCCAACACAGGCATGCTCATAAGGAAAGGTTAAAAAAAGTAAAAGGAACTCGGCAAATCTTACCCCGCCTGTTTACCAAAAACATCACCTCTAGCATCACCAGTATTAGAGGCACCGCCTGCCCAGTGACACATGTTTAACGGCCGCGGTACCCTAACCGTGCAAAGGTAGCATAATCACTTGTTCCTTAAATAGGGACCTGTATGAATGGCTCCACGAGGGTTCAGCTGTCTCTTACTTTTAACCAGTGAAATTGACCTGCCCGTGAAGAGGCGGGCATGACACAGCAAGACGAGAAGACCCTATGGAGCTTTAATTTATTAATGCAAACAGTACCTAACAAACCCACAGGTCCTAAACTACCAAACCTGCATTAAAAATTTCGGTTGGGGCGACCTCGGAGCAGAACCCAACCTCCGAGCAGTACATGCTAAGACTTCACCAGTCAAAGCGAACTACTATACTCAATTGATCCAATAACTTGACCAACGGAACAAGTTACCCTAGGGATAACAGCGCAATCCTATTCTAGAGTCCATATCAACAATAGGGTTTACGACCTCGATGTTGGATCAGGACATCCCAATGGTGCAGCCGCTATTAAAGGTTCGTTTGTTCAACGATTAAAGTCCTACGTGATCTGAGTTCAGACCGGAGTAATCCAGGTCGGTTTCTATCTACTTCAAATTCCTCCCTGTACGAAAGGACAAGAGAAATAAGGCCTACTTCACAAAGCGCCTTCCCCCGTAAATGATATCATCTCAACTTAGTATTATACCCACACCCACCCAAGAACAGGGTTTGTTAAGATGGCAGAGCCCGGTAATCGCATAAAACTTAAAACTTTACAGTCAGAGGTTCAATTCCTCTTCTTAACAACATACCCATGGCCAACCTCCTACTCCTCATTGTACCCATTCTAATCGCAATGGCATTCCTAATGCTTACCGAACGAAAAATTCTAGGCCATATACAACTACGCAAAGGCCCCAACGTTGTAGGCCCCTACGGGCTACTACAACCCTTCGCTGACGCCATAAAACTCTTCACCAAAGAGCCCCTAAAACCCGCCACATCTACCATCACCCTCTACATCACCGCCCCGACCTTAGCTCTCACCATCGCTCTTCTACTATGAACCCCCCTCCCCATACCCAACCCCCTGGTCAACCTCAACCTAGGCCTCCTATTTATTCTAGCCACCTCTAGCCTAGCCGTTTACTCAATCCTCTGATCAGGGTGAGCATCAAACTCAAACTACGCCCTGATCGGCGCACTGCGAGCAGTAGCCCAAACAATCTCATATGAAGTCACCCTAGCCATCATTCTACTATCAACATTACTAATAAGTGGCTCCTTTAACCTCTCCACCCTTATCACAACACAAGAACACCTCTGATTACTCCTGCCATCATGACCCTTGGCCATAATATGATTTATCTCCACACTAGCAGAGACCAACCGAACCCCCTTCGACCTTGCCGAAGGGGAGTCCGAACTAGTCTCAGGCTTCAACATCGAATACGCCGCAGGCCCCTTCGCCCTATTCTTCATAGCCGAATACACAAACATTATTATAATAAACACCCTCACCACTACAATCTTCCTAGGAACAACATATGACGCACTCTCCCCTGAACTCTACACAACATATTTTGTCACCAAGACCCTACTTCTAACCTCCCTGTTCTTATGAATTCGAACAGCATACCCCCGATTCCGCTACGACCAACTCATACACCTCCTATGAAAAAACTTCCTACCACTCACCCTAGCATTACTTATATGACATG